GACGGTTCTTTTTGGGTGTCTAAAGTCATCACGATCACAAACTACCTACCTACTACAAAGTAGGGTGGTAATTATGTATGGTTAAACATTCAAAAAATCCAAACCCAATCATAAATTCCAGATGTAATCAGTAAATTAATGCTGAAGAAACACGCGTTTTGTTTTGGTATAGCGTATCGCATAGATGTAGAGACAGCGATTCATTTGTTTTGTCATTGTCCGTGAAACAAATGATCGATCATTTCACAAATGTGCGCAATTCCTGGCTATTGTCCAGGGAATATTTTCAATGTTTTAAACTTCGTATTGTGTTTTGTTCGTGGCGCGGCGCGCAAGATGGCCGTGGCGTAGAAAAAGGGAACACAATGTGCGCCGCGAGTAAAGAACATGCACAATGGACACATTGTAACAATAGCGCAACAAAAGCGACGACCGGCCGCGGCAGGAGGCGCGAACCAAGCCCCGGGAAAGGGAAATTAATTATAATTAAATGCGCGCCATTAATATCCTTCGCGAGATTTATACACATGAAAACAAAACAAGCCGAGTTCTAATTTAATCTATAAATTGCATTAAAAAAATATTGGAAGAACAAAAGATTGTTAAATGTTTTTTTAAATCCGCAAACGTGAGAACAGCGTTCGGCGAAGGAGCGAAAACACTAAGAAGCTTTATTCTTTTATTTTATTTATTTTTTCGTAAGTCCTTCAGTTCTTTATTTTTTGTATTTATTTCTTTCATGCAATGCGCGTGTTCATTGCGCGCTGTTTTAATACGTCCTTAATACTCGCCGCAGGGGGAGCTTTAACTTCTTTGACTTCTTTGTGCGCGTTTTGCGTGCTTGCTTTCATTTGTTGGTTTTCGTTTTTGCCATGCCCGGCATTCAATGGCTGAAATTTAAGAAAGTGTTTTTGAAACCAACTAAAACCATAAAAAAACTTCAATTTTTTTCTCTTCTATTTTCATTACTAATGTCTATATTTTCGATAAGGTCTCCGGTTGTATGAGAATCACGGATTCATGATTCCTGGCGTATGAGAATAGCACCGCAGGTGCTTTCTGTTTTCATGCTCGGCGCTCCAAATGAGTCTTAATGATGCTTCAATTCCGAAACGAGCAAAAGGGTTCTACACTCGGAGTTTTAACGCTGAACGAGCTGATTCAATAGAAGAAGAAAAGGGTTAGACTCCCCTGTAGGATCTAATTATCCCGTAAAGCCACAAGACCAAGTTCTACACTCTCACAAAGCATAAAAGAAAAAAATAAAACGAATACAAAGCGCAGTTGTCGTGTTCGTGATAAAATTAAAATTGCCACCCAACAGAACGAAAAAAATAAAACTTAATTATGACCTACATAAAACTTAATTGTTTTAATGGCGTCGAGGGTTCAAAATTTAATTAAAATGTTTCTTGCCTAATTCACGCCGACCGATAGATATATATTTCTCATTATCTAATGGGCAAAACGTCAGCAAACATCCACAACCGTTGCCCACATGTGGCTGAAATTTTAATTTTAATTTCCCTCGTCAAATTTGGGTGCCGTGTCGAGTCTCGGCTCGAATTACCAATTGAAATTTTGATGACTTCCTGAATATAATTATTGCCCAGTTGCGCGCCGAATATGGAAATGCAAAGATGAAAAATTCTCAGCGTCGTCGTCGGTGAATATTATGCATAGATAAGTTCGAAGCATTCGAGGGAGAGACATGCGTCGCGATGAATATACATGCATTCATCGCGCGCGCGCCCGGTCCCGACGTATGTATAAATAACGAGCGCGCGAGCAGATAGCCGAATGCAGAAAGCACTTATCTCGAACGGAAGTAATCTGCATATCTGGCACGAGAGACCTCTGAGCTAAAACGTTTGCCCGAAACTCAGGTTTATGCATGTTGTGATTTCTAGCGTTTATGTTTTCCTTAATCAACCAGATTGTTACACATCATCTGCAAAACAACAAAAAGTTAAACTTCTAAAGAAAAGTTTTTTTTTTCGTTTTCAAGAAATCGTTTGTAAAATTTCACACTCCCGTGATAATACAATATGTGCCGGTAGTGTCGGCATATGCGAAACATTTGCCGATCGATCATAAATGCACTTTACGTGTTTTGTTCGCCGGTGCCGCCAGAAAGGGCACCGACTGTACTCGCTGAAATAAATACGCACATCGTCGAAGTGCGTTCCGGCGATGCGGCCGTAAAATAAGCCGTTCGGGTGCGCGGCGTCGAGAAAATAAAACCGTAAAGGGACTTAACAATGTCGTAGAAAAAAGCCCTAAAAGTGCGCTTTTCCGTCGTTCGCGCGTCGCTTTTACGACCTCGGCGTGCGACCTTTGTGCACACACACACACACTGACACAAAAGTTGAGCGAATGCATATGCGTAACACAAAATGGCCGCCGCCGCCGCCGTCAGCGTAAACAGCGCCAAACTAACGTAATGCTATGCAAACATGCAGTAAAACGTTGGGCAAACAACACGGCCCGCAGTGAATTTCCGAGAATGGAGAATAAATAATGCACAAGCTCTCGCGAAGAGAGACGAAGAGCCAAAGAAGAAAAAACGAGGACGCTTCGTGTGTTTAATCAGCATATGACTTAAACCCGACGCTAAGAACCCCTAAGAAAACAAAAGACGCATAAATAAACAGAGACAAAATCTTGAAGATGGCTGTCAATAGCACTTTGCTAGCCGGAAAAAATCGAGGCGCAAAAGAAAAATACATACATACGAAAACACTAATGAAAACACATTTTCAAACTGATGTATGAATACTTTGCAGCCGTTTGGGGAATAGCGAGTCGAGGCGCGCAGGATGGAGAAGAAGGGCATTAAAGTATCGGGCGTGTTAAGAGCATAATACCTGTCTCGTCCGCCTCTTGTCTCATCTCGACGGTGCGGTGCGGCGTAATCTGAATTTGGGGATGGGACCAGCGGAGAGGGCTTTACTTGGAGCGCAGCACAACGTATATAATCGCATTTTTATCAAGATTTATTGCTGCCGAGCGCTGGCAACGCCCGAAGAGACAAGTGTTGTTGTAAACGCTGACGCTAAACCGAGCCGCGCCGGGTTTGATATGAAATATACATCGTGAGTTAGACAACCATAAAAGTATAAAACTTCCCAACGCCGCGCGTACGTATTCACTGGAAAACTTATTTCCAGTCATAACAACGTTGCTAGGCAACCTGTTGACGTTGCCTAGCAACGGTTCCGCGCATGCTGACTACAACGTAACAAATTGTTTCACAATGTGGAGCGTGAATGAGCGTGAATACCGAAAACGAATGTGACATTGCCTACACACATTTCGCACTCGCGCTCGCTCGCTCGCTGCCAGCGAGAGCGAATTACGTGCATTACGCGTGATGAATCTATTGTGTGCGCTCGTTTCACGCCGCGTTCGCAATACACATGTGCCAGTTTGCGCGACATGCAAATAATTACGGCATGCCCTCATATTCGCGGTTGCTATGGTAACAATGTCAATCAAATGACATTTGTTGTGAGGGCGCTAGTGGTAAAAATGTGCAAATGTCAAACACGACTCGGGCATTATTAAAATTATATTATCGTCGTGAACGCACTCGTCGCGCTACATTAAAATGCCATGAGCGATTCGCATCCATTTCCGACGTCTGCGCGTTTGTTTCGCTTTTATTTCGAGTTGCACGTTGCAATAACAATGCATTTTGTGTCGGGGACGTGCTGCTGGTAGTAGCAGGAATATACCATGCGCGCGGCGCGGCGTATAGTGGCTTTTTAATAATGTTATGTCGCACGACGTGCACGTCGCCGCCAGCAGGGGCGCGCACCGAGTGTGACTATCTCCCTAAAATAGGCGAACCCGTGCCGAGCGGACCATTAAATGCGAAATAAATGTCTTTGCGATGCGCTGATATCGTAATTGCTTCGGATTTTACTTTTATCGGGCGCTCATAAAGAAAGCCAGCGAGCGACGCGTTTAAAAACGTCATTTTATTATTCGCAATCTAAATGTGAGGTTATATTTAGATCGACAGCTGAGTGGGGTTACTAAACAACGGAAACAAGTTGCCTAGCAACCAAAAGTGGTTGCATAGTAACAAAAACAAATTTATCAATAAGCAAAACTAGTTGCCTAGCATCAAAGCGAATAAAACCTTCTTTTTATTATTCGCTGCCTAAAAGTGAGGTTATATTTAGATTGACAGCTGTGCAGGCTACTAGGCAACAAAAACAAGTTGCCTAGCAACCAAAAACATGTTTCCTAGCAAGCAAAACTGGTTGCCTAGCAACAAAACGTTAAAACGTCATTTTATCATTCGTCATCAAAATGTGAGGTTATATTTAGCTGAAGCAGCTGTGAGGGTTGCTAGGCAACGAAAACAAGTTGCCTAGCAACCAAAAACTTGTTCCCTAGCAAGCAAAACTGGTTACCTAGCAACAAAACCTCCAAAACCTAATTTTATTTACTGCTGCCTAAAAGTGAGGTTATATTTAGATTGACAGCTGTGCAGGCTACTAGGCAACAAAAACATGTTTCCTAGCAAGCAAAACTGGTTGCCTAGCAACAAAACGTTAAAAACGTCATTTTATCATTCGTCATCAAAATGTGAGGTTATATTTAGCTGAAGCAGCTGTGCAGGTTACTAGGCAACGTAAACAAGTTGCCTAGCAACCAAAACATGTTCCCTAACAACCACAACTGGTTGCCTACCAACAAAACCTCCAAAAACCTAATTTTATTATTCACTACCTAAAAGTGAGGTTATATTTAAATTGACAGCTGAATAGGTTACTAGGCAACTTTCCTAACAACCAAAACTGGTTGCCTAGGCAACAAACCAACCTGTTCCTAACCTAATTCTAAACCGAAAGCCAAGTAAAAGTTAATTAATTGAATAAATTACCAGCCATGTAGGTAGAATTAATAATCCGCTCACTCGTCGGCCCGATGATAGCAAGATTAAAGACGGGCCCACTAAAGATGGAACGTAATTGATTATGCCTTACCTTAAAATGCCGTCCACGTTATCCGCCGGTACCGTTACATCCAAACGCGATAAAGTTATTAAGATAATAGACACTCTGAAACAAATAAAAAAAAAAAAAAAAATTAGTATGCTGCGCCATTTTGAATAATGATAAACATGTTAATTAAATGATTTAAAAAGAAAATATTCTCAACTCGACTCGACTCCGTCAATGACAGTCGTCGACGTCGTCGTCGGCGGTAATAATCCAAGCGGGAGGTCTCTTCTTCACTCGTTCACTCTTATTACGCATTATTACATTACAAGCATTACATCCATTACGATGCGCGCACACGAGGTCGGGTTAGCTGCGTTCGTGCCCGCGGGCGCGCACTTAAAGCACGTTCATTGATTACGCTTGTAATTTAATTGAAATTTTATTGAATGCGTGTGTTTCAAGGGCGTGCGAGAGTGAAAAACTGATCATTGCAGTAATTAACAAATTATTCACAAATATAATACAGTAGAGTCCGGTTATAATGACATCGAAGGGAATTGACAAACACGTCATAATAAGCGGACGTCATACAAAGCGTTTTGTGAAATGAAATCCCTTTTTTATGTAAATATGTACATATTCATACATATTAAATCAAAATCAAAATTGCACGTAATCAGCACATTATAACACATACAAGTGTATTTTTTACTTCAAGTAATCTGTAATTTTTTTCTGCTTTTGTTTTTTCATTTAATTAATTTTCTTGTGATTTTCGAAGCCTCTTCGGTTTCAAAACATTTGAATTGAACGATTGCTTAATGCGGTTCTTGTTTTTTAAAAAGCATTGAGATTGTCGAATGACCCACGCCAAATTCGGATTAATGGAAAATACGGATTAAGTCGTGGTCAAGGTGCTGCTGCCCGAATGCTTATATTTATTATTTAAGCATTTGGTCTTTCCGATAGTAAATACATAAAAGTAATTTGACAATCATAAAAGAAATGTAGCAATAAATATAAAAAGTTCGCCACGTGTCGAACGTCGTCGGGTATCAACGAACATTACCGGAGGTGTAAAGAATCATGTTGGTCAATATAACCGGACATAATCTGTTAAAAATGGGTCATAATAAGCGACATGTCACTGTAAGCGAAGTCATTATATCCGACTTTTTTATACAGAATTTTATATGAAAACCAAACTTGGTAGTGTAGGTACGTCATAATAACCGGTTGGTCAATATAAGCGGAGTCATAATAAACGGATTCTACTGTAATATATTTCTATTTCTTGTATTGGTTTGAAGGTTTTAAAGGTTATAACATAACCAAACTTGAAAAAACAAACGCGTTGCATTGAAAGTTTGTCGTGTAATTAAATTTCGCTTGTGACTCCCTCGTGTGCCGTGACTGTTGTGAATTACTGCGGTTTGCGAACGTGTGATGCGAAAATAGCGCAGCAGAAAAAAAAAACCACAGCGAGAGGAAAATAGACGAGAGGCACACTTAATTGACGTCCAAATTATATTCATTGTGGCGAAGCGTCGGGTGCCCGTTGTGCACATTGCTCATTCCATTCTATCTCCTTCTATTCCATTCCTTTTTTTTTTTCGTTTTTTCGTTTTTTGTAAAAATACACCACACCAACTGTAGCTGTGCAATGCAATTCAGCGAGTGCCCAGCGGCATGAATTAGAATTGAAATGCAGGCAACTTTACCATCACGAAATAAAACGAAATAACAGGAGGTGGTTTTTTGGTGCCGGGATAAATCATACGCCGCGCAGAATTTAATGATTGCAATAAAAAAAGTTTTGAGCATAAAAAACTTAAATTCCGAGTAGTCATTGTATAATATCAATGTTTGGAGGTTATGCGCGTAAGCCGTGTAAGAGTTTATTGGCGATTGTGGGGCCTACGTTCCATCGCGGCCCGACCTTTATTAAATTTAGGCGTGTTTTTACGACGACGACGCCAACTCTTCAAGTTGGGCTCTGCTTTGCATCACACAGCTGGCTGTGGGCGCCGCGCCGGTTTGAATCTTTAAAATTTAAGAAGTTGTTAGCAATGTAAGTATGCACTTCCACTTCGAGGACCCGCTCGTAAACTCGTCGACTTGATGAGTTTTCCCTAGTTTTAATTCGTTTTGGAACAGCATGACTCACCTTCGCCTAAGTACAATTCCAACCACCTTCTGTTCTCAACTGCTTAAATTTCATCCTTTGAATCCACTTCAAATATGCTCACGGTGGTCATTTCTATAGCTAAATACCTAATACCCTATTAAAATCATTTAAATCTCTTTCGTGTTGTGTTTTTTTTTTTAGGGAACATTTGTTGAGTGTGATCAAGATTGAGTTCTAGGAGTTGGCTTTTTTTGGGCAAGTTGAGTGTGTGTCTTCGTTCTTCGTGTGTGGTTTCTGTGGCGCCATGCTTTAAAGCTCTCTGCGCGTGTTTTTGTGAGCTTGGGCATGAAACGCACAGATACACAGCTACACTTGTCCAGATCCATAGATATAGAAAAAAGACCACCGAAAACACACACATATAGAAATATCTGGGTTCAATCAATGAATAGTGAATAGAGTCATAGTGCTATTGGGCTATTCAGAATCCAGAAAAGTCTGTTTCGAATACAGAAGCTACTTTGAAAGCGCTTAATAGCGTCATTATAGGTCACACATAAAAAATTTCCGCCATTTTGTCAAAGGGACTACACATTAAAACGTTTTTTTCGGTTCGAATTAAATAAATCACAACATAAATTACCATCAAATGCAAAAGTACGTGAATTTAAATAATATATTAAGTATCAAGTGGTTAAACTGAGATTTTACTCACGAGATTGATTGAGAGCAAGCGTAGGAGCGTTTAATTGATCCTGTGTTTGACTACGTTTAACCACGAAATGCTCACAAATTTTTTCTACTTCCACTCTAGTTCCACACTTAGGTTTTTGTATTTCAACTTATGCATTTTAAATTTTCGAAATTCGAAGCTCCGCCCCGTAGATAATGCCCGTGAATAAAGTACTTTACTCACGCCCGTATATAAAGTACCACTTTTTGCGCCTAAAAACCGTGCACTTTATAGGTGAAAGTAAAAAAACGACTAACGCAGTTGCAATATTTTGATTGCAAAATTTGACTCCAAAATAATTACCAACATATTCACATTTATATTATAATCAAATATAATTTAAGTCGCAGTTGCATCACACACACAAAGTATATGTTGATAATGTTTTACGATGCGTTGCGACAGATCTAAAAGCCCGCCGTTAAAAAAAACTGCATACAAATTCGAATTTGCATTATTCGAACGTATTTGCATTATTATCGGACGCGCGGCTCAAAACTAACGCCAGCCAGCAGCGATGCGGCGATGGTAATAAATCCCGCATCGTTGCATAAATAACGCCGATATAAAATGAAAATGCATACAATGCACATGCACACACAGCGCCAACAAAAAAAATCTATGCCTGTGTGCAAGCCTGCGTGTGACTGTGGGCTAGTGCGATGTATTTGCATTTCGCATCTGTTTGTTAGTGCTTTATCCGATGCCGCAATGCTATATAACTTTATGTCACACAACAAAAGGGGTTTGCTTCATTGTGAATTGTAATAGAAAAAATCATCACAGAAACAAAAAACAATGAAAAAATTAGTTTTATTGTATTTTAAGTGTTGAAATTTAACTTTTTGAAATTCGTTTGGTAATTTTTGCATTTTTTACAATTAAATCAAGTGTATTGCAACAGAAAAAATGATAACGAAACAAAAAAACATGAGTTTTACTGTATTTTAAGTGCTAAAATGAAACTTTTTGTAAATTTTGATATTTTTTAACTCTTTTAAATTATAACAAACGTGTTGAAATAGAAAAAATCATCACAAAATAAAAAATAATAGAAAAAACGTAGTTTTATTGTCTTTGAAGTGTTAAAATAAAACAATTTGCAACGCGTTTTGTAAATTTCAATATTTTTACTTTTTTTATTATAACAAGTGAATTATAATAGAAAAAATAATCACAAAAATAAAATTAAAAAACCTATTTTTTATGTTTTAAGTGTTAAAATGAAACTTTTCGCATTGCATTTCCTAAATTTCGCAATTTTTCACTTTTTTTAATTATAACAAGTGTGTTGTTGTCCTGCGGTCATAAAATCGATTATATCCACTCCACACCATCACCATACACCCCACATCACCCCATTGTGCGCATTTCGGCAAAAACACATTAAACTCGGCTGGCGCATCCACATTCGCACATTGAAATTGCGTCGAAGCAGAAAAGACACACATCATCAAGCAACAGCATCCCATCGGGGCCGCACCAAGGGGATGCTGCGCGCAAATGTGGCAATAGCAATAGAATACGAAATGTGTGTACTGAATGTGTGCATGAAATGTGCGCGCACGTTAATCGCGGCAATTCGTCACCAATCATTACTCGCGTATCATAAAATCCATATGCTCGGGACGGGTTGGCGTCGACCGATCTATGTGCATATCTTCTGCGGCGTGAAGCGCCATCAGGGGGACGATAAATTGGATCGTGAATGGTGCAACGTATTTTTATGATTCGGTCGCGAACATATTGCGACGTTAAAAAGTGCAAATTATCACATTGCGCAAACACTTAAAAATATTAAGCGCGAAAATAAATGTTTAAAATTAAAATATTTTTTGTACCCAGCTGTTTGATTTTCTTTTTTCATATTTTTAAATTGTGCTCATTTAATGTGCAAGTCACATTTCGGCCCTAATGCGCATAATTATCCTCATTAATTTCCGTATTTCGGTGCGCGCGTGTGTCGACCGTATCGCGTTTGTGCTTTGCACCCTCCTCGTGTGCGTTACGCCGGCACGTACGGATAAAACGGTACACCCTCGGCGGCCGTTAGGGATTTGGGGCGCGCAATACGCAACCGAATTATAATCCCGTAAACAGTGCGCGTTTATTCACTCCGCCGGGCGCGAAACGCACTTTGCGACGACGGTGTTTGTCGTCGGCGGCGGCGGTGCGCCGTAATGATATGGGGTGAAGGCCGCCTTCGAGGGTGCCTCGAGGGTGCCACCCACCGGTGCGCTACGATCGTGTCTAGTG